GAGGTACAAGAAATAAAATTAAAAAAAAAAAAAAAACAACACACCATAAAATAATGAATAAAGAATTCAGTACGATTAATAGATGTAAACGATTTATTGTTAAAATAGCAAAAGCTTTTCTTTCATAGATTTCTATAATACTTTCATCCACATCTCTTTATTACTTTCTTTATTTTCTCTCTTTACTTTCGATAAACTATTGAAGAACAAAATTATAGAACACACAATTTGAAACCATTATAATATATACGCCATCATTTCGCTTCGTCCATCTTCTTCTTCTTCTTCTTCTTCTTCTTCTTTTCCTTTTCCTCTCTCATAGAATTAATGTGGGCCGTGCCGATACTTTTTCTACGCCAACAACTATATATACATACATACATACACACACACATACATTTTCATACAATATTCACACATATATTATATATACATGGCATCACACATATATGATACATACATGTACGTGTGTAGTGCATGGGAAGAAGAAGGTTGAGAGTGAAGTAGTAAGCAACAGTAACAGCAACAGCATTAGCCGCTTTCTGAAAGACTGTATTCAACTGGAGGCGATCTTTCAAGGAGGAAGTACGATTAAGTGAAATGATCATTTTCCTGGCTTAGGCTAGGCAATAGGAGCCTACGATTATACCTGTTCTTAACGTTATAACTATTTTACATTTTTATTTGAAACACTGATCAAGAGGAAAAGCAAGCATCCATCATAGTTTACGCTAGATTTACCTAAGGATTCCCCCCCTCACCTTGATCTATCCAATCTCACTTCACTCATACATTTTCACATACACATTAATCTACATACACGTATCTTTGGGTAAAAACATTTAACCAGTAACTGACCTATAGGTGTTTGCACAGACAAAAAGTAAACGAGAGAACCCCATGAGATTAGTCACAAATGACATAAAATAAAATACAATGAAAATAACGGTGGACGTTAGATTTATTAAGTAGAAAAAAAAAAAAAAAAAAAAGGTAATAATAATAAAATAAACATATAATTATTATTATAATATTATACTCATTAGCAGCAGTATTCAACAAGTAATTTTATCTACCTAATTTTTGATTGCTGCAAATTGCATTTCAATTTAGAAAACAAATCATATGATGCGAGTTAAACAAATTTGATTATCTTAAGATCAATTTTTTATTTGTCTACACAAAATTATCGATCAAACCTGAATTGTTTCGTATGAAAATCTACCTGTACAAATATACAAAGATTGGGGGAGAACTAGGGGTGGTTTTTAGATTTATTCATTATTGGAAATTATGACTCGTATTTTGTTTTTTTGGAAGAATAACGTCAAGTAACGAGAGATATAATTCGAACCATAAGAAGACAAAACACATGAGCGAGAACGTTGGCCCGTTGCTGCATGATGGCAACGACCTCACAACACCATCATCGCGCATAAGGTCTAATTCATCCGTTAAACCACTTTAATTTCTACGTTCCCCGTTTCTACCAGCAGTCATCTCCTCTTTCTTCTCTCTATCTCTATCAGGGAAACAAACAGCCCTTTATTATTTTATTTTACATGGCTCATCCATCATCGTAGACTCCGGTTACCGACAACTACCAAACACACTAACACCAACACCAACCACCACGTGTTTTATCATTCTCTTTCTGTTTCATCAATTAACGAGCTGTTTTTTATTCTTTTTTCCGTTCAACATTTTAATGAAACAACAACAAAAAGTCTGTTAAAAGTATACAATAATTCATAAAATAAAATTAAATGAAGTAAAGTAAAGAGAACAAATTCCGGAAGTGGATCGTATGTTTAAAACAACTTCACACGGGTCTCCCTCCTCGTTTTCACGAAACACATATGTTACCAACCGATTATTATTATTATTATTATTATTTTATTATACTTTTGAGTTTATTTTTCATTCTTTCTTACTTTCTTTACTTCCCCTTTTCTTCCTGTCCATCCACGAAAGTTTGCTGCTCAAAATAATAATCCGATTAGATAAGAACCTTCTGGAATTACATACACACACACACACTCTCTTTCTCTCTTTATCTTTCATTGTGGCTATAGTATTCGTTCAGTAGAATTATCTGGTAGCATAATCTAATATAAGAAACGATAGAATAACAAGCATGCAAGCAAAAGGTTAAACGCGTGGATAAAACGTGCGTGCGTGCACATTCGCGAAAGAAAACGTTCAAATCCTTTACTACTTCCGCGAAGTAAGTCAAGCATTTCTATACTAACACAAGTTCTCTTACATATATATATATATATATATTTAAAGATATACGTAGGTATGTTTTGTACGTAGGTATACAGGACATAAACGAGAGATTAACGAGAAACAAAGGCGTCGAATATTATTCTCCAATCCGCATTAGCCCACTTTCTCTTACGGATTGCGTGCGATTACACGCGATTGTTCTACTTGTCCCTTACACACAACACAAAACACTCTGATCAATCCTTCTTCCTTCCCACTTCTCGATTGATTATTATTAAAAAACATTTGGATCATATCAGACTTGAAAATTTTCAATTGGAAACAAAATATTGAACGTTTCATTAATTTAGAAATCAATTTTACAATAGGTTGTGGAAACCATTTTTGTAATAATCAAACACAAATGTTCTAATTCAAATATATATTTTATCTAATCTATATTTTGGAATCAATGTTTTTTCAACGTGTATAATAATTGTTTTAAATTTAAAACTACAAATTTATTTTTGTAATCTTCAAACTACAAATTGGGGTATATGTTTATACTTAAAAATTTTTCTGATAGTAATAATCAGACTTTTAATTATACGAATTTTACAAATATAATTTGACTAAAGGTTTAATTGGTGAAGAATAAATTAAAGTATTGAAAAATGATCAAATCTTCATTTAATTTTATATTTACCTGTGGTTTTAATATTCGAGAAATATAATTTGCAAATTAATATGAAATTGTTTGGAAAAAATGGGAAAAATGATTCGTCGTTATTACAGTAAATAAAGATATGTAAATTGAAGATCACCGATGTAAATGATTCCTGGTATTCATCGAGAGAAGTAGAGAAGAAACGATGGAAGAAAAAATTTTGTTTTTGGTAAGATGACTGTACGAGACAGATGCATCTTGACTGCACATCTGCATCCTAGTACAGTCACCCTCCAAAATATCAATCCTTACACAATAAAATAGTCTTTTTTTCCTGATGGCCTCCTCTCCATGGGGTACAATTTTTGCACAATTCAGTTCACACCTTTCTCTCATGGAATGATAAATGAAATAAGATTCTATCAAAGTTTGATCACTTATTGAAAATATTTCAACCGTGTACAATATATATTATTGGGTTGGCAACTAAAATGATCCTTCCTCTTGAAAAGTACGAATGAAAATGAGAAAGATTAAGAAAGGGGGATGTTTCTTTCGGTAAATGAAACGAAACTAAACTAAAACAAATCACACAACTAAGAATAAAAAAAAATCCTAGAGAAAATAAATATTGTTGTTTAAATTCTTAACTGATATTTTTACAATTTATTTTAACAAAAATTTATATAATCGAAATAAATAGAATATTTTTTCTAAATTTTATCAGGTCACGATATACTTCTGATAATTTGAATATTGGTTAAAAGAAATAGAAACATTAAAAACATGTATCCGTTATTATAAGTACCCATAAGTGTGCACGTGGTAATGAAAATTAATCTAATGCAACTTAAAAAAAAAAAAAAAAAGAACCAACTAGTTAATCGTTAAAGATTGACAGTGGAATGAATACTCTAGTGACTCACCATGTAGTACTATGTGAATATTTGTCGATTTTCCCTATCGAACGTGCCTGATTTCACTCGATTTTTTTTATACATACACATACCTACATATATATTTGTTTTTTTTTTTTTTTTTTTTAAATAGAAGGCTAGTCGCGAGATACCATAATATATTATATGGTGCTCGAC